CCCCAAAACCCCAAAACCCCAAAACCCCATGAGAATAAATTTTTTATGAATAGCAAATAATTAAAACATAAAATTTGATTTCTTAAACATTAAGTCATCATGGTCATTAATCCAATTAATATCATAAGCTAAGTTAGTTTTCAGGGGTAACCTATGGCTGTTCTTATTATTTACCAAAGCCTAAAATCCCGAGGGTTCTCTAAAACAAGTGAGACTTTTAAGTTCCCATTCTATTCCTAGACATTGCCTTGGTAGCACTGTCATCAATTGATGTCTTTTTACTATTAGAATCTATTTCATTAGCAAACATGTTGTCACCTCCAGGATCAGCAAAAGTAGAATTAAGATCCATTTTTCCTCTAGATTGAATAGACAGTCTATTTTCTGGATGTTGGTTCCTAAACATTGAGAACGGATCAAACATTGACTTCTCTCCAGTCCTTACTGATGATTTATTTCCCTAATTACTTCCACCTGTACTCACAATCTAGGCTGTATTTGCAGTATTTCCTCCACTCATTGGCTAAGATGGTTATTTTGTCTAGGTCTATTGTTCATAGGCTTTCCTAAGTTTCTTCAATTCTTTTTCTGATGTTGATCTAACTTTTTGTAGTTCAAGCTTAAGGTCACTTATCTCTTTGTCCTTCTAAATCAGCATTTGGTCTGTTTTTCTTTAATTAGCCTAATAAATCTCAATGTCAGTGCTCAAATCTTCACATCTCTCTTTAACGATTGCTATATTTCCTTTTGTTTTTCCTAATTCTTGATTTAAGTCTTCTATTTATTTTTAAAGACCTTTGATTTCCATTATCTTACTAAGGATCTGATCTTACATATTATTTATTACCTATTTCTATTCATTTTCATATTATTCATCAACAACTATTGGCTTCTTTTAGGGCGTCGGCTGGGGAACAGGTTGATTTTTCTTTTGTTATTATTACTATTAGTTGACAACATTGTTATTCCCTTATATGAGAGCACCAGCACCAAATAATTTGAACAACTTAGTCACGCCATTAGTATCTCTTGGAGTTTATTAGCTATTCTATGAATTGTTTTAGGAGTTATTATTATAGTGACCATTAGAACTATTAGTTGACATAGTATCTTCAGTATAAGATTAATTTCCATTTAACTTCATTTCCTGCAGTTATTTTTGCAACTTATCAAACTCAGTCTTTAAAATAAGAAGAGTTAATAAACAAAATTTTAAGATTATGAACAATTTAGCTTACTTTAATTCTTTTATTCTCAATAGAGACCTCCATTTTAATGGTAAATTATTCATCTCTTTCCCTCTTAAGTATCCTAATTTCAGTTTCTCTTTCATTTATTAAATCTTTCAACTTCTTGTTATCAACTTCAAGTTAACATAATTTAGTCTATATTAAATGTATATCATATTAGGAATGGCTTTATTACTTAGAGAAATTGGTTGGTGTGATCTATCTGATTAAGATTTTCAAGAAGCAACTCTCTATTTATAGTTAATTATCTATATATTTACTAATCGCTCTGAATAAAAAACAAATTCTTTTTTAATGAGTCAGGTAAAGACTCATTTTAAAGCAAGTAATCATAAATTTAATCGATGTCTTCTTTGTCAAAATTATATTAGACCTATTGCATTTGCTATTATTCGATGACCTGCTCTAATATTTCAATCTAAAAGTTTAGGATTTCTGGGAAATACGTCTTATTTTATAGGAGATTATTCAGCTTAATTAGTATCAACTGATTCAGCTTTTTAATCTTATGTAGTGTTATTTTCCATTAAAATAAATATAAATCGCACTTAATTTTACTACTATAATTAAACTCCTCTAAAGAACATAATTCTGTTGACATGGGGTTTTGGGGTTTTGGGGTTTTGGGG